TTTTCTTTTTCTTTTTTTAAATTGATATACTAGTTGTATGTATTTTGGGGGACATGTGATATTTTGATACCATCCCCTAACATGTAATGATCAGACCAGCGTGAGTGGGATTTCCATCACGTCAAACGTTTATCTTTTCCTTGTGCTGGAGACATCATAAACCTTCTGTTCCAGCTGTATCGAAATGTACAATAAATTATTTTAACTACAATTTCCCTACTGTAATTTCTAATACTAGAACTTACCCCTTCCATGTGACTGTATTTTGTACCTTTAACCAACCTCTCTCCGCCCCCTCCTCCCTGCCTTTCCTGGCTCCGGGAACAGCTATTCTATCCAGGCCACCTGACAGCCAGGATTTTAGCTCCCACACGTGAGGGGAACATGCAACATTCATCTTTCCGTGCCTGGTTTATTTCAATTCAACATAACGACCTCCTGGTCCATCCATGGTGCTGCAGATGGTGGGCTTTCTTTCTTCTTTAAGGCTGAGTAATATTCCGCCGTGTGTATAACACATTCTCTTTATCCAGTCGTCCAAGTAGGTTGATTCTGTATCTTGGCTGCCGTGAACAGTGCTGCAGTAAACACTGTAGTGCAGATATATCTTGGATATGTTGGTTTCCTTTTCTTTGGAAATACACCCGGCAGTGGGATTGCTGGGTCACATGGTTGTTCTACTTGCAGGGTTTTTTTTTGTTGTTGTTGTTGTTGTTTGAGACAGAGTCTCACTTTGTTGACCAGGCTAGCCTAGCTCACAGCAACCTCAATCTCCTGGGCTCAAGCGATCCTCCTGCCTCAGCCTCCCAAGTAGCTGGGACTACAGGCATGCGCCACCATACCCGGCTAATTTTTTGTATATATATTTTTAGTTGGTCAGTTAATTTCTTTCTTTTTTTGGTAGAGACGGAGTCTCGCTCAGGCTGATTTTGAACTCCTGACCTTGAGCAATCCGCCCGCCTCGGCCTCCCAGAGTACTAGGATTACAGGCGGGAGCCACCGCGCCGGCTACTTGCAGGTTTTTGAGGAAGCCTCATGCTGCTTTCCATAGTGGCTGTGCTACTTTACATCCCGACAGCAGTGGGACTTTATAAAGCGGAACCTTGCCTGTACATGGCGTGCGCCTTGGGCTCGAGGTCCCAGCCTTCGTGCGTGCAGCTGCCCACCGCTGGAGCCGCTACTGTGATGTAGGCAGACGACTGGCTCTTGGACTAGATGCCCAGAAGGTGTTCTGAATCCCGTCACCAGGAATAATCATATTTCACTACGGGATTTGAGAAGCATCTTAACCACTGTGTTTCAAGACTGGAAAAAATGCCTTTTCAGTTACCCTCCCTTCCAGCTGTGATGTCACACTGGCCATCGGGCTGGGTGACCGAAATCCTAGTGGGACAGGGTGTTGTCACTGCTCAAAATAAAGCCAACCATCTATGGTCCAACAGCAGCCTTTTTCCTGTGACAAGGTGTTTCTGACATTCAGCAAAGTGAGGCCAAAGGCCCCTACAACTTACACATAAATGTCATAACTATGCCGGATAATTTTCAAGAGCCTACCGGTGAGATTTGTGAATTCTGAAAATAATGGGTCACATTCACTGCGATCTACATCTAAGAAAGAATAACTCAGAATCGAGGCACCGACACTATTTTGATAGACAGCGCCAGGGGCGTGCCGCGTCAGTGTAAGGCTAGGGTCAGGGCCACACTCCTATTAGCAGCGCAGAAGCTCTTGATACATGTCATTGATTCGTTAATGTGATTGATTCTGTCACACAAATACGGGCTGCTTTGCTCATCTGCTTAAGCTTTAGTTCACTAAATTCAAGTGGAGATAACCCCCCAAAGCATCATGGTCTGTGTGCTGGAGCCTTTTTAAATACCGGTTTTCTGTCTCTGAGCTCCATCAAGACCTTCATAGAGTTAAACCACAGCAGGGTCTGCTGGGTAGCACAGGTGGCCTCACCTGCGCTGGCCTCACCTGTGCAGCTGTTTGGACACAGGGTAGCAGCGATGGCAATTGCATGTGTACATTTGTTGTTTTATATAGCTTCTGAGGGCTTGTCAACATTTTTTCAGATCTAAGCAAGTACACACTTTATTATGCCAATAAAGCCCAGGGACTGCATAGCCGTGCCCTGTTATGGAAGAGTGTCCCCGGGTGACAATCCCAGCAGAGTCATGTTGTACTGCAGCAAGATCAGCGCCAAGCTAACAGCCGTCAAATTGGCTGTGAAAGCCTATCAGCTCCTCTTACTTGCTGCCCCTAGGGAAACATGCAAGAGAAGAATCTTTCAGAACACCAGGCCATTTTTTTTTAAGCAAAGTCACATGAAACAAAGCACGTTTTTTACATACATGAAAAGAGGCATCGACATGATTTTCCATAACCAATAACGTCCATGAATCCTTATTGCATGGCATTTAACACAGGTTGGAGTGAGCCTGGGTGGTCCTGCAACGGACATTCACACACAAGTACATTTTGTCATGTATGCCATCAATAAGCTGGTTTTATTAGCCTTATCACTGACTTGAGTTTTAAAAGAAAAAATTCAAACTACATCAAACTCAAACTACATCAAAACTCAAACTAACCCAAGTATGATTTCCTAAATTGATTACTTTTTCATGTGGGGTCCAATTCAGCCAATTTCCCCTCTCCCTCCCTCTTCCCCCCAAAAAGTGAAAAACAGGGATCATCACTCCCCCCCCCAGCCTGCAGGTGACATCAGAAATGCTGGTAAACATCAGGTCACTGTGCCTTATTTTATCCCATGAAAGTGGGTCACTGCCCAGGTAATGACTCTGAGAAGCTGACAATGGAGCTTAAGAAGGGCATTCCAAGTTCTGCCAACACTGGTTTTCCTCAAGCAATTACCTCGTCACAAAGTGTCCACTGGGGTCTCTGGTAAAATCCTCTGTGCCCACCTCCCCAGCAAAAGTGAGCCTGAGCCCGAGTGAGAGCTCCCCACCCTGGGGGGCACCCCTGGGCCCTGGGCGGCTCAGGACCTAACCAGACTGCTCAGCTGAGCTGTTTTCCTTTCAGACTAAACTGTGAAGGGGTGGAGGCCAGGGAGAGAGAGAGGGAGAGAGAGGATGAATATGATAGAGTCGGACAGAGAGACAGAAACAGAGAGAAACGACAAGAGAATGACACAGCCACACACAGGGCTTAATCGGCCTGCAAGGCAGACTCCTGCCCTCCAGGTTTGGGAAGGGGAGACGCCCCCGGCTCATGTAAGCCTGGCTGGAAATGGGGACCTGGGTCCCTGGGCTCCCCAGCCTGAGCAACCCTCAGCATTGGTAAAGAGCAGCAAATGGCTGGGCTGCTGCTGCTGCCGGGAAGACAGGGGGGGCCTAGCTCCAGGAGCAGGAAGGCCCCAGGGCAGACAGGACAGCTGGGGACCTGGCTGCTCTTTTTTTAATTCCTTACATTTTGGAGGGAATTGTAAACAAAGGTATATGGAAAGCTATTTTGCTGCGCGGGATAAGCCCTGGGCCTTCCCGGGCGGTCAGGCACCGCGGGCTGGGCGCAGGGACTCTGGAGCCTGTGGTCCTGGGACTGTGCACCCTGCGGGTCGCCAAGAAGCTTGGTCACGCGCGTGGAAGGGCCTGGTCTTCACAGTGCTCTGCCTTCCCTGATGGACTGCTGGGGAAAACGTCCCCGAGAGCGGCCAGAACCGGGGTCCTCGGAGACCGGTGCTAACGGCCGGTGCACGGCGGCCCACGGGTTTCCCAGCGCTGTGGTCGCGGCCCGCGGGCCCCACCTCGCGGCCCGCCCGGCAGGCCACGGATCAGCGGAGGCCGAGCGCTCCCTGGCCGGGTTCAACTTCAACAACAGAGCCCAGCCTGCCCTCGAATCAGGCGGCTCGCCTGACAGCCGGCTCAGGCCCCGGCCTAATTGAGGCTGGTCACCTGGGAATAGGTTCAAAGGCATCAAAGCCGTAAACCACCTCCAGGCCCGGAGCCAGAGCAGCCTGGCGAACAAAGAGCCCCGAACCACTTCAAACGCGCTCGCGCTCGGCATCCAGATGGCGCGGGGCTGGGGTCCCCCGTGCTGCCCACCGAGGCCGGCCCGCGCCCCGCGCCCCAGCCACCCTCCGGACCGGAGCTGCCCGCGGGCGACCAGTGCAGCGGAGGCCGGGCCCCGGGCAGCCCCGCGCAGTCCCCTCCATCCACTGCTGACTCGCGGAGCGGAGGGGAGCGCAGAGGCTGGGGCGGGTCAAGGCGGGCTGGGCAGGAGGGCGCGCGGGCACCGGGCGCTCCCGCAGAGGCTCGCTGGCTGTGGCGCTTAAGTTTTAAAGCACTTAACAGGAAGGTTCCGGAGGGGCGTCGGTGCCGGGGCTCCCCAGGAAGTCGGGTTGAGACACGGTCCCCGACACCTAGACTGGCCCGAGCGGGCGGCACCTCCGCGGATCTCGGTGGCGCGTCCGTGGGGACCGGCGTCTTCAAGGCCCCCCGAGCGTCCACATGCCCGCGGTTGGGGCGCCGGGAGCGCTCTCCGCGCAGCTCCCCGCACCCAAGGCCGGAGCTTGCGGACCGCGGCACGGACTAGCCCTGATGCGCGCGCAGGCGCGGCCTAGGCACTCAGGGGTCCGGGTGCGCCAGGAGGCAACCGTATGCGCCCTCATCTCCGGGGAGCGCATCTGGGATCGGCCTCGCCTCTCGCGCCCCTCGCTCCCAGGGAGAGACCTCGCGGCCGGGCGGGGCCCAATCTCCCCGTTAAGGTGCAGACAAAGACGGGCTCGGGCCGGCTGGGGGCTCGCGACGGCCCGGGAGTGGCCAGCGCTCCGGCTGGGGGCGCAGGCGGCGGGCGAGGCCTGGGCCTCCGGGGTGCCCACCGTGGCCCTGGCCGAAGGGGCAGGCAAAACTGAAAGTGCCGCGCCGGGGGCGGGGGCGGCCGGCGAAGGCCCCAGAACTTGTCCTGCCCCCGGCCACCGCGGCCAATCAGAACGCCGCCCTCCCTCCTGACAACTATTTAGCAACCCAGCCCGGCTAGAGTTTCCAAAAAAGTTAGAATAACTTCCTCTCCCGGAGACCTCGGTTTTGCACAAGCCGGCCTTGAAATCAGAGCCTTTCAAGCAGCCCCGGGCGCGTGTGCTCGGCGACCGCGGGCTCGGCCAGCGCCGCGCTCGGCGCCCCGGCGCCCCGGCCCCACGCGCGCCGGGCGGGCGGGCGCCATGGAGGAGGGCTCCAGCTCGCCCGTGTCCCCCGTGGACAGCCTGGGCACCAGCGAGGAGGAGCTCGAGCGGCAGCCCAAGCGCTTCGGCCGGAAGCGGCGCTACAGCAAGAAGTCGAGCGAAGATGGCAGCCCGACCCCGGGCAAGCGCGGCAAGAAGGGCAGCCCCAGCGCGCAGTCCTTCGAGGAGCTGCAGAGCCAGCGCATCCTGGCCAACGTGCGCGAGCGCCAGCGCACGCAGTCGCTCAACGAGGCCTTCGCCGCGCTGCGCAAGATCATCCCCACGCTGCCCTCGGACAAGCTCAGCAAGATCCAGACGCTCAAGCTGGCCGCCAGGTACATTGACTTCCTCTACCAGGTCCTGCAGAGCGACGAGATGGACAGTAAGATGACCAGCTGCAGCTACGTGGCCCACGAGCGCCTCAGCTACGCCTTCTCCGTGTGGCGCATGGAAGGCGCGTGGTCCATGTCCGCCTCCCACTAGCGCCGCGCCGCCCTCCGGACCTGCGCGCCAGGGTAGGTGCTGCGCGGCGGGCGCCCTGCGGCGCGGGGTGGGGCGGCCGGGCCTGCGCACCTCTGGGCGTGGAGCCCCGCGGGCCGTGGCGCCGCAGATGGGGCGCACTTTCCTCCGGGCAACGGGCGGGGGCCGGGCGGGGGGCGGGCGGGAAGCTCCCGTGTTCGGGGCGCCCTGAGGACTTTTTCAGGCTTCTGTGCGCGGTGTCAGGTGGGAACCCGCGGACGGCAACCCCCAGCAGGGTCCAAAGGCACTTCTTAGACAAAAGGTCGCATTTTCCATTCCTGGCGGTATGGGGGTATCTCTTGGTGACTGTGGTGGGGAGTAGGCATCAGGAAAAAATCTTCTGGGGCCGGCCGGGCGTTGGGAGGTGGGGACCCGCTCTCCTTTGCGTCCCTCGTAGCGGAGGCCGCCGGCGAAGCTGCCGCAGCCCGCTCGGGCTGCGACTGTGGCTCGGCCCTCTCCCCGGGGAGCCGCAGAGCGCGTTGGTCGGCGGACACGAGCTCTCCACGGCTGCTCACGCGGGGAGTCCTGGCCCGCGCCCCGGGCGCCCTGCAGTCGGCTCCTGGCCGGCCCGGGGGCGTAGAGGTGCCTGCTGATGGCGCACAGGTTTGCCGGGGGAGGGCAGAAGGACCCTGCCTGGCGCTTGTGGGAGCTCCGGAAACGGCCCCGTGCGGAGGGCGCAGGGACCAGAGCGCCGGGGCTGGGGGCAGGCAGCTGCCCGCAGGCACATGGAGCTGACCTAGGAGCGGGACCCTTAGGTCCCATCCTTGAACCTGGAGTGCCTGAGAGGGGCCTGCTCTGCGCCCCGCGGCCAGCCCTGCAGGGGAGCGCGAGGGGCCAGGCTGGGAAACCGGTCTGGGGCGAAGGGAGGCGGTGCGCGCCGGCCCTGCGCGGGGAGCGGGCGCGGGGGACTCAGCTGCCAGGAGCGCTCGCTGGAAGTCCTGGTTTCCTCTGGAAGAGCGATCAGGGCGTCCTGCACCGGCTCCTTTGCACCGGACGCCTCCCGAGTCCCTCTAGATGAGCTCCAGCCGCCCGGCGCCGTCCCTTCCTGAGGGCTCTGCGGGGCGACCCCCTCTCCACGCGCCGGTGACGGAGGGCGCAGGACCCTTCCCCCCGGCGGGCGGCTAAACACCTTCCTCTCCAGCATGCTTCAGGTTCTCGCTCGCCTCGCCGCCGTGTTTTTGCAGAAGTCTCCAGTTCACCCAGAAGGAATTTAGATTAATCCGGAGCGTTCGGCCACCCGTCCTCCCAAGCGTACCCATTTCTTTTTTATGTGGTTCTGTAGCATCTGCGAATCCTGTTGCTCCCGCCACGAAAGGCTGACCTAGCGCAAGTCGGCTTTGCGTCCTTGTTTTCTTAGCTTTTATTTCGGTGTCACTGAAAACTCTTTCGATGAAATAGCCTAAGATAATGACCGTTTTATAGTTTTTTAAAAGTAATTTTGAGTAGAGAATAAATTGTGGGAATCTTCCCCCGTCTCTGTCAAAAACAGATGGGAAACGTCTCGGTCACGTATTTCTCTAGGAAAGAAAGTTTGGGTTGGCTGCGCCCTGCACGCCGCGGTGGACAATACATTAATTCTGGTTTTTGTGCCTAAATTATGAGCTTCCATTAGTTACTCCATTTACCCTCTATACGATCCACGGGCTGCATGGTTTACATCTGAAATAAGAACAAACAGATGAGGCATGTCATCTTTTCAAAACACACACATACAGCTTTGTTTAAGGAAAATGTCAACAGAATTAGCGCTAAGACTGCCCTCCAGAAAATTATTGAGCACAAATACCAGGAGAATTACTCTGATGCAGGAATTTAGTGGGAACATTTAAAATTCATATAAAGATAATGGCACTTCTTAGGACTCAGAGAATTGGCCACAGACCACAATTAAAAATTATATAAAAATAAAAATGCAGTATTTGTAATAAGTAAATGAAAACTGTTAAGAGCTTGTGTGGAAAAAAAATTCTTAAAAATATAATAGATAACACAGTTGGAAAGCAAATGATCTACATGGGGCCTATTTATTTTTATATAACTGAATATTACTGAATAGTTCAGGTAGGTCAGTTTCTTTGGATATATACTCTCTATAAGAAGAAAAGGGAAATATGGAAGTTTTTGATACACTAGCGATTCTGGGAACCGCTTGTTTTTATTTACCAGGCGTGTTAGGCAAACATATTTGTATTCTTTTTATTTTTAATCCATTAGTCCCTGTGAGCATAAATACGATCACAATCGGTCTGATTTCCTACAAATGTTGCTAAGTGGCATTTGTTATTTATTTGCACTATCACTAAGAAGCATGAATTATATGTGTAAGCAAAAAATTTATAGACATCTCAGTAAATTGTGATTATAATGTCTAATGAGAGATATTTTCACGTATATGGAAAAATTGTGTTTAGACTAGTAGTAACAAGAACAAAAAACCTAAATTGTCCTCTGACATAAAGGGAAATGAGGACATATGGCGGTGTACGGCAGTGCTGATATTTATCCTGACTTTGTTCTTCTTCGGCCTGGTATTTAAAAGCACAATTAGACAATTAATCATGTGTCTTTGGCCAGTCAGCTGGATTCATCTAATCAAAAAAATCTCAGGAGAAGGTTTAAGTATTCTCATTAAATGCCTGAGCCTTCAGAGCTGGTTCTGACTCCTAGCTTGGAGAGTGGGGGAAGGTAGGAGCGTTACTTAAGCGACGTTTGCCCTGTTCTCTGCTGTGTGGTTAAAGAAAACATCTTCTGTAACTTCTGCAAAGTGTGCACAGATTTTTCAGCAGGTTACCTTACTCGACAAACTGATTTTTTTTTCCTTTTAGAGAACTTTTAGTTACTTTGGAGAAAGTGCATGCCCCCCTTCACCATCTGATACATGTAAGCCTTTTGCTCCCTCCAGAAAGTTTAGTTCTTGAAAGTGTTTGCTAACTAGCTCTATTCGGGGTGCTGGCTGTTCTCAAAAGAAAATTAATTCCTTGTGGAGGAGAATAGAAATGCAGACTCCCAGTAAAGCTTTTGATTAGTTGGAAGGAGTAGAATGTAAGGCTGAGCTACCTGAAGTATAAGTAATGTTTTGTTATAAAATGCCCGTCAGTAAGATCTGATACAGCGATTTGAACTCGATCTGTGGGTAGTGTCCCCTTAAATATTAGCAGTACTCGCTGAGCTTTGCATGGAGGAAGTCTTGCTACCCGTCCGGCCAGAGATGGACTTCACACGTGGCTGTTCAAGGTTTTATTTGAGATACAGTTCTTCGTCGAGGTTTTCTGAAACTACTATTTTTCAGACAGGTCTCGAGCTGAAAGAATCGTGCTTTCATCATCCTTGCTTCACTATATTCTAGATAGACAGCACACATGCTGGAATCCTTTTGCCTGGAAAAAAAAAACATAAAGTAAACTCTTTCTGAGCAGAACACTATAACTCATAACTTTAGTTTAAATCTGGGCTTAAAAAAAAAACAAATATTTTAATAAGCCAATTTTAAAGGCTGAACTTTTACGACAGTTTTCAAGCTTTGTATTTATATTAATCTATTCTCACTGGTGTCTTTAAGAACCCTGTAAATGCATGCTGGAATGTCTGTTTATGTTTGTGTCTTTTCCTGGGAAAAGAGAAACGTGCAGCAGAAAGCAAACCAAATACCAGTCTCTCCACTAGCAAAGAGTTCACGAACGAGGCACTAAAACTCAAAGAAGAGATGAATAAGTTACTGCAGCCAAGAAACGGGAAAGGCCATAAAGAAGAAACAGAAATCTAAGAGATGCAGACGTGGATGTTTTCAAAAGGAGAGCCAAGATGAAACAATAAAAACAGAAACTCTTTAAAAAGATATTGCACGTGGTCACCTGGGTCTGCACACGTGTGACAAAATTGCATGGAACTGAACACAGATGAGCTCACGTAAGACTGGTGAAGTCTGTAGGGTCTGGGGGCCGTGCCAGGGCCAGCTTCCTGGTTATGATGTTGTGACATAGTTTTGCACGCTGTCTTCACGGGGGGAAATGAGCAAGGAGGATAAGGGTACTCTCTGTATAGTATTTCTTACAGTCTCATGGGAATCTATAATTATCTAAAAATTGAAGTAAAAAAAGGTATTCCACAAAATTTTACGTCTCTATATTTAAATGAGCAAATTACACAAGAAATTATTACTATGCTTTATTTCAGAGTGATAGACTAAAAATGTGCTTTGAGCAAAAATCCACACTTTTTTTTCCCCTGATGCCATTTGTGTTGCACTTTTCTTCAGAATATGAGGAATCGTAATATATTTCCAATATGTAATTAAGTAGAACTGGTTCCTTGTGATTCTGAAAGAGCAGTGTCCCAGAAATCCCAGAGGAGAAACAAGACAAATTTTAATAGAAATACATTTATTCCTATACTAATAAAAATACTTTTCAAATGTGTACCTTGAACTGGTACCTATACCACATTGCTTTTTAAAATATTAATTTTATATTTACTTTCATCAAACACATACACAATTCTAAAGCCAATGATTTAGAGAAATTATTCACCAAGAAGTAGAGAGATTGAAGTTTTAGAATGTGGAGCCAGACACAGTGAGGGGAGGGGCATAGGGTGAGAGAGGGAGAGAGGTCAAATCCTAAACTCAGCTGTGGTCATTTTAAATTAATGTTTGTCTTAGAAACCTATTTTGTGTTTTTGATCGGTAGGAAACCTTTGGATGAGGTTTAGCTGTATCAATCTGTGCCTATGTTGAAATGAGGGCAGTGGCATCTACCATGTGGTTTTCACGCTGCTGTAAACTGAGGCACGACGGGACCTTTCCTCAGTGATTACTAACGGTTGTCACATCAAAAGGAGACTTGGATCCGAAACTGAAAAGGCCTGCCTGCAACTTTATTACAGCATGAGGGTAATTTTTGGTGGTTAGAATAAGATAGAGTCATCTTGTGCCCAGGGTTTGACATGCTTGAGGCGTCTGCATCATGCCATCCGGGGCTCCCCGAGAATAACGTGATCA